GTTGGTTTGTGAGATATGGTGGTTGCAGGTATTGATGAGTATAAAATCGTGGGTTAATGAGCACATCTTAAAGGTCCGGCTTGGCACGGCGCACAGGGGACAGAGCTCCGAGATTACTTATCAAGGAGAGGCTAGACTGAATACGGCTGCAGTCTCGTGGAACGTACAGCACATCAAAAAGTCAAGAACACGGAGGCAGGCACTGGAAGCCAACAGTAGAAAATATTGATTTTCCTACATACCATCATTTTACCGACATCATACGACTGTGTGTGTCTTCACCAAACACAGCCTAGCTACTTCTCGAGAGGTTCGACAGATGTCGTTTCCAGCTCTGTATACATTGTGTGCCACGACAGCCTATATACAACCAACCAAACCATCTCACCCACATGTCTCTTGGGCAGATTTCCATGTCTGTTTTTTTTTTGTTCTGTGTTGTCTTGGGTGGAGAGGACGAATTCGTCGCTCTCAGCATTTCAAGTCATCCTCCTCGCTCGGCTCGTCGCAAATGCATCGACACCGACGCGGGGGATGTGCGTCGGAAGGAAAGAGAAACAAGAGTTAAAGAAAGGGTGCACGTGAGGTGGCATGTCGGATTGGCCGGAAGCGGCGTGAATTAATTACGTTTCTGGGTGTGTCGTCGTCGAAGGGGGTGGGAAGAAAAGAGTTAAGAGAGATGGAGAATTGGGCGTAAAGTATAATTCCTCCCATGTTTTGGAGGAGCCCAAAGGGGAGTTGCGAGAAGACCTCGGACCGCCACGGTAGGCTGGGCGATCGGATCAAGGAGGGGTCCGCGCCAGCGGCTCGGGCGGAGGGGATGGGTATCGTTCATTCGACAAAGAAGAGCCCAAGAAGCGCGCGGTGGTGGGAGATGGCATTGGTGTTGTTGGGAGCTGTGCCAGGGGACGGACGACGCGCTCTAGAAGTTCTGCGAAATACCCGCGCTTTGTTGCGGGTAGTGGCTGGGGTTCTCGATGCGGGTGTTGCGGCGCGCGGGGTTGTCGCGAATGATGGGCTGGCCAGGGAGCTCCGTAGGGCGGTCGTAGCTGTTTTCGGCATAGGGATTGTTCTGGTAGCCGTCGTAGTAGTTGTTGTTTGCATTACCGCTGCCGTAGGCAACGCCGATGCCGCCATCCGCAGTAGAGCCCTCAGAGCGGGCGCCAGCACTGTACGACGACGAAGCGTTCGATGGGCCACGCTGCACGCCATTGCCACGGTTCAGGGCGGCCGAAGGGCCCATGGCACCGAGAATTTCACCCTCGGGGGAAATGGAGCCGTCGTTGAGAAGAGCCTCGCCTAATTGAGCATGTTAGCAAGCAGTTTGCCATGGCAAATTCGAAGATTGCAATGGGCATACCTGTGTTGTTGGTGTGGCCTCCGGACATGGTGGTGGAAGCCTTGCGGCCGGTCGAGCCAGCCAGGGTCGTGGAGCCCCAGCCGCGGTACCCAGAAGACGCATCCTCCCTCATCTCGTATCCATCGCTACCACCAGCGCCGGCAGCACCGGCGACGGCAGGAATGGTAGGATCCGCGTTGGGGTTGTAGGAATAGTCCTCAACTTCCTTACGACGCTCCTCCTCGGCGTGGCGCTTGGCCTTGCGCTTCCTCCAGAAGTAGAGTCCGGCAAGGATAATGAGGGCGACCGCAACGATGGGGACCACCACAGCAACTGCGATGCGACCTGGGTTGCTCAGACTGCCACTGCTGCTGCCACCGCTGTTGATGGCACCATTGCTCGCGGTACTTGCAGGTGCTTCCGAGGCGGACGTGGGAGATGGGTCCTGAGGGTTGGTGGTGGTGATGGTGCGAATGATGATGCTGGTGCGCCCGTTGCTTGTGTCTACAGAGGACTCGGTGATAACCTGGGGGGTTGAGGTTGTGGGATCGGGGCTGGTAGTTGTGATGAGTGTCGTCGAGGGAGTGGTCTCTACTACCGGCTGTTCCGAGGACGTGGTTGGCACGGGTGCTGGATCGCTTGTTGTTTGAGGCGTAGAACTGGGTGCTGGCGGCGGCGTGCTCGGCTCGGAGGAGGTGGTCGCTGGTGGAGGGGCAGCCGTGGACGGAGAAGACGACGGGGTGGGCTCGGGGGCAGGCGTGGAAGGCTCGGCGGCGGGAGTCGACGTGGGCGCAACCGTAGGCTCGTCGGCCGGCGTGGTGACAGGCGGCGGCGAGACCGACTGGTCAGACATGATGATCTATGTTAAGCTGCGTGTGCAGATAATGTCGCGTGCTGTGTGAGGAGAGTATGTTAGGAAAATCGATCTCTCGAGGGTCGCGTTCGGCATCGGCGGCTTCGAGTTGCCGACGTCAAAACAAAGGCGACAATGAATTGCGCTTGGCAGAAGTGGTGATTGAACAGAAGAAAAGACAGAAAAGGACGCGGAAATGTCTGCGCCCGAGGTGGAAATCCACCAAATGTCGTACACCGCGGTGGCAGACAGCCATTGGGGGTACAAGATGCGGCAATATGCAACGTACCTTTTTTTCTCGCCCGGAAGGACGGGTTTCCCAGTGGTATGGGCCCGAGGTAGGCGCGAAGGTGACGGACGGGAACAGGCGAACGGGGTAGGAGATTGAAATAGAGATATGGCTAAAGAGCGACAATGTCTGGCGACAGAACGAGTGATGGCGAGCCGCCGGGGGTTGGCTGTTGTGTGGTTTGAAGAAGAGGGATCCTCAAACGAATGAGTGGGCGGTGGTGATTGATGGCCAGGCGTGTGGGCAGCGGGCCCTGGTACTGCAGCAGGGCAGGCGGGCGGACGGAGACTCGGAGGATGATTGAGATGAGAGCTGAGTCAGGTCCGTCTGACTGACGCGGGATGCTGTCGGTCTCCTCGGCGAGTCCTGTCGTCCTGTATTCTTTTCTCGCTCAGGCGTATGGACGGTCTCCTCAGACTGGAGGCGTTGGGCTGTGGGCGAGGGGGGAATTGAAAGGAGGAAACGGGCGGGTGAGAGTCGGCTCGCTCGTGGAAAGGAAAGTGCGGGAGAGGGGACGAGAAGGCACACGAGTTGCGTGGAGAAGGGGATTTGCAGGGGGGGACACGGGAGGGAACACGAGAGGTGTGGGTGCTACGCCTCCCCAGCAGCGAGTGTTGTGTGTGGACGGGGACGGTTGGGCTGTGAGAGTGGGCTGTGAACGAACCACGGCGGCGGCGGAACTGGGTTGCTCCTTTCCACGGCCAGGCCCTGCAGCGAAGCGGAGCGGACTGGTTCCTTCCAGGTTCGCAGACTTGCGGCCAAAGAGGAAGGCGAAGAACACAACCTTGTGGAGAATAGCCTGTGCCGCTAAACCCGTCGCGGTCGCCGTCCGCGGCGGTTTCTACGGGTGTTTGGTGCCGTCTGCATGTGCGAAAAAGTCCGTCTGTTGCCCTGAAGGTGGTTGATCCGCGGTGGGGCCCGGGCTTTTCGGGGCGACCTCTTGGCGTCCGCGTCAGTGAGGTTCGGTTCAGTGACAGAAGCCACCCGGCACAACACTCCCGTCGTTATTCGACAGGCAGGACATCTCGTACGGGCACTTTTTTACGGATGCAGCGCACCATAAATAACATCCCAAATCCCATTCCCAGCACCAGGGGAAACACATCTAAATGGATCGCCTCGTGGCGCGGCACTCCCTTGGAATGCATCAAGTCCCCCAAAGTCTCGCCCAGAGCGGCAAACCCCCCTGCGTCCCGTCCGAGATGTCTCGCCATTCCCCCATCCCATCTCTCTCGTCTTCGTCGGTCGTCTCTCGTCCGAAAATGGCCCTCCAACCGCCTGCGCTATTGTCCGTCTCGACCTGATGCACCGCTGTGGCACTGGCAGGCCAACCTGAAGGACCACTGACCGCCAGCCGACACAGGCGTCCAGACCTCTGTAAGTCCGTGCGTGAGCTCATGCGTCCGCCCATCTGCCCGCCGCTCGGCCACCCCCCTAGCAAAGTCTCGCAGGTCGCGATTTGGCGGAAATTGGGAGCTAGGTTCCTTCAGTTCGACACTATTGACGGCATGCCCGCTCACCCCGGACGTTAAGCTCTGCGCTGGCGGCAGCCCTGTCGACCGGGCATAGCCATGTCTTGCGGTATCTCCCATTTACCCTGGATTTCAATCTCCAGAGTCGACCGACATCCAGATTGCCTGCCGCCAGGGTCAATTCTCCTGAGGCGTCATAGTCAATAAGGTGGGTGATATACCCGCCTGTATCAGATCGCCTATCATGACACACACTCCCGTCCTTGTTTTCCGGGCCCGTCACATGGTCAGGATGGCATCATAACTGCCGTCACGGTCGGCCGACAGGTGCCAATGGCCACCTCCATCGATTATTAGACGTGTCAGCTATATTGTCTTGGTTCCTGACGAACAGTTGAAGTCAAAATCGTGGCGACCTCGAGCCGAGTCATCGGCATTCCCAACCGTGCCCACAAGTGACCTCATTGCCACCCACCCCTGATTCTCCTCCTGAGTCTGTCCACATTCCTTGCTGGCGGAGCTCGTGTTTGGCGCTGATCCGTGTTGTTTGGTGAAGATCACTTCCCTCCCAGTGCTCGCCACTGGCCTCCAGCTAGAATAGCATCTCACAATGTGCCGAATCGGCTCCTTGGATGAGGTGGCCCGATTGTAGGACTTGAGCCTCCTGCATGCAAATAATCACAGTATTTACAATCAAAGGCAGTACCTACCTTGATTGTGAGTCCATTCATGTAGACAGCTGCAAAAAGCCGCCGTTCTTTCATCTCGGTCACTCAAAGAACATGAAGTCTGAAGGACCTTTTGCCCTGAATAAGAGCGATTCACCCATATGACTGATATGCTTTGCACCTCTGGACACAGGGGCCAGCAGAGGAGCGAGGAATGGATTTCTGCATTCGAAGAACAAAGTCGAAAAAGCAGCCATCGCCTGAAGCGAAGCATGCCATCAACATCTGTCGTGCTGGAAAACCACGATCGCGAGGGTGACGACGATTTCGTGGAAACTTACCACATAGGCCCTAGCTGAAAGCTTATCAAACATCAATTGGTATCGTGGCCGAGTGGTTAAGGCGACAGACTTGAACGAATGAGATCTCCTCATTTCTAGATATCTGTTGGGTTCGCCCGCGCAGGTTCGAACCCTGTCGATGCCGCATAGCTTTTTGTGTCTTCTTTGTTGCTTTTTGTCTCGACCTCATATTTGGTAATCAACCCCCAGCGCTGTTCGCATTTGCCCTGGCAGAAGCAGGTCTTTCTTCAGGACTGCCTGTCGCTGAATACGTTTTGTTTCATTCGTAGATGGATGGCCGAGTCCCAGACCTCGAAACCCCCAGTCCAAGTCGATGCCCCCAGAGACACACACAACATCCATCCGCGGCGTGTGGCTATGCGGAAACAACGAGCTAACAGCGACAGCCCAAGCACCAGAGGCGGCGCCGTTTTGGTCTCGTGTCCAGCACGCTTCTGCAGGGACCTTCTGGAAACTGCCCTAGCTCCAGCTTGACTCGACCGCCACTCTTTAAAAATAGCATCCTCACATTCCCCTCCAGACCACCATCACATCACAGCTGATCATATGGCCCGTATTTCAGTCAGATACCGACGCCAAGTAGCGCGATATGCAGTATATGCTTGGTCTAACTGACTGGTGTGCGCTCTTCCTGTCCGGTCTATATGCAGAGGGAAATTCCGAGGGAGGCCCTAGTGGATAATCCCAGACAAGAGTGTCATCATATGTGTGATCCAATACTCCGATGCCGATGTTGTATGGTGTGTTGGCAGATGCCGTGGAAGGGCAGCCAGAGCACATTTAGAAATAAAAACAAGACATTACCGCTTCGAGGCGGAGCCGCTCAAGGACGCGGGCAGAGATGCGCGCGGGCAAAAAGAATTCAAATGCGGATCCGTCTGGCCAGGCAGTAGGAGGACGGGCCGGTCGGCTCGTGTCCCACTGCCGGCATGATCAGGTGGCATGTCCCCAGTGATGATGCGTATGTGCGAGGGTGACAGCTTCGTACGCCTGCGCCGTCGCCAAAGGAAGTCGTGAGAGCTCGTGGCTTGCTTGCTGATGAATGAGTCTATGCTGTGCGCCGAATGAATTACAGGTCCCTCATGCTCCAGGAGGGCTTGAGTGTCTGCTCGAGCTTGGCCGTGGTGAAAACGGTGTCTTCCGGCAGGCGGCTGACACGGCCAGCGCCGCTGCGAATGGCATGAGCTTGGGCGGCCGAAATGCCGCTCTTGTTGCTGCGGATGCTGCCGGCGTCGCTCATGTTGTCGTCGCCGTTACCGAACCTACGGGGAGGAGCAAAGTCGAGGCCGGTGAATGTGCTCGACTTCCTGAGCAGATGCCTGAAGAGGGAGTTAGAGATGAAGCGGAAGAGGAGTTGGGACCAAAACTTACGGGCTGGGAATGGCACCCATCTCATCGTAGCTGCTGATGAGCGGCGACGCGACGGGCACCTTCGGCTTGTAGGGGCGCCTCTCGCCGATCGGGCTCTGGGAGCGGCCCCTGGTGCGGTCTTCGTAGGTCTCAGGAGGAGCAAAGTCGATGGCGCCGAGCAGGGCGAACGAGTCATCCTTGAGCTTGGATGGCGTCGGGAGTGTCGTGAGGGCCGCCGGCGGGGGACCGCGGGGCTTGGGCGGCTGCCTTGCAGACCTGTTGGAGACGGAGGAGCCTGGCCGTGGCTGGCCCCAGTTGCTGGACATGGCGCTGCCGGTACGGGGAGGGGGGGGTCGTCGGCCGCCGGGCATGCTCATGCCGCCCATGGAGCCGTTCCTGGGCCTGTTGTTAGGCGGGCCCCTCTGGCGGGAGGCACCCGGAGGCGGTGTCATGGCACGACGGGTGACGGGCTGAGCGTACGGCATGACGAAGGCGTTGGACCTGGGGTCGTAGTAGGCGCCGTCATTGTTGTTGTTGTTGTTCCTGTTGTTGCCCGAGTAGCCGGCATCGTAGTCCTCGTAGTAGGCAACACCGCCGCCCTGGGGAGGACCGCGCTGCTGCTGCTGGTCAGGCCTGACCGAATCGTCAAAGTATTCCTTGTAGAAAGAGCGAATGCGGTTGGCCCTCTCCTCGGGGTCTTCGAACTCCATGACCTCGTCTGGCGGCAGGGGCCGCTGTCCGACAGAGAGCCTCTTGTTGTCCTGCTGCGGGACACCAAGGACCTGCGAGTCCCGGTAGTTTCCGTCCATGGAGCGCCTCAGAGCCGAGCGGCCGCGCTCCTCGTATACGTCCTCATGATAAGTGGCTTCATGTGCGTCATGCGTTTGCGTGTCTTCGGAGATGATGGTAGGAAGGGGCGAGTTTTGCGCCTGGGGAGGCGGGCGAGGGCTGGAAGGGAGGCCGAGGGTCGGGACAGACCTGGCGTTGGCGGATGTGTCTTGGAATTGCATGTTGTCGAGTCCGAGACCGACACCCAGCTCGGGGAGAGCAAGGGACTCGTGTCGGTCATCCGTGGTCTGTGCCTGTCCGGGGAGAGGGCGGTCGGACACAGCCATGCCCGGCTCGCCCCAGGATGACCTGGCCATGCCCTGGGCAATGTTCTGGTTTCCGGCGGGCAGGTCGTTCGCGTCCCTGTCGAGCTCGTGGTAGTTGGCCTGAGGGAACTCGATCGAGCCAATCTCGGGCACAACGCCGCGCGGGCTGATGGGGGATGCCATGTCCATGTCGCTTCGTGGCGTCATGGAGCCGGACCTTGGGGTTCCAAAGGGATCGGCAACAGGAGGCGGGGGCATCGGGAGGTGCTCTACGGGCGACGTAGGAATCTGGCGGTGGGAGAGCGAGTTGCCCCGAGGGGGGAGGTCTCTGCTTGTGGCGGTGTCACGGCGTTCGGTAGACTTTGTGTAGATGGAGGATCCGCCCATGGTCTCCTTGTCGGGGCGGAAAGAGCGGATAGAGCCGACTTCGCTGCCATACTGCTGGTGAACGGGGCGATAGGGATCCTCATTGCCGTTGATGTTGCGGGCCAGGGAGTGGAGAGACTCCTTGGAGCCCTGGAGGGCGGGCGGCAGAAGGTAGGGGCTCTGAAGGTTCATGTCCATGGAAATCTGAGCACGGTGTCGGGGATCGATGTTCATCATCTTCTCGCGGAACATGCTCTTCCGCTTGCCGCCGCTAGCAGCGCCGGGGGGGCCGTCCAGTCCGAAGTCGAGGTCCTGGTTGGGGTCGGAAGCCTCTTCTCTCGCCCGCCTCTTCATGCCTTTACGGTGGAAGTAGTACACAAGCGATACGGCGATGACCAGGGGCACACTTTGGGGGTATGTTAGTCGGGCCATCAACACACGTGGGGTCCTGAATGTTGGACCTACATTACTCCCACCACGATTGGAATAGTCATGGAGTTGCCGACAGGCTTCTCGCAAAGGTTGGCGGCCTTGGTGCCATCTTCGCAGCCCTTGTCGTCTCTGGAGGCCAGCAGGCTACGGATGCTGAAGGAGGAGCCCACAACCGGGGCGGCCTCCAGGCCGGGCGGTGCAGGAGCCATTCCGGAGGTCGTGTGTCGAATTGCAAAGCGTCTACGTCTTCGGTGGTATTCAAGGAGTGTCTGGTGGTCGGCGTCGAATCAATCCTGGGTGTGTCGTCCGGCAATTAATGGGAATTAGGTTCGAAAGAGATGCGTAACAACGTCGAGATCGGATGCAGCGAGCGATTTGGGTGTATATATAAGCGGTAGATGATTGATCGAGAAATGCGCTGGTCGTTATCGAAACGAGTCGCAATGTGGTCGTCGAGGAGAAAGAGGTCGGTAGGAGGAGAGAACAACGCCTGAGCCTAAACGGGTGGGTGTATAAGGAGTGTCGTCCGCGGAATCAAGTGATTCGAAGCGGCAGAGAATGAACGACTCGTCGGTGGGATCGCAAGGATCGCAACCAGACAGCTGTTAAAAGAATGACGGGCCCGTAGGCAAGGCTGTTGTGGGTGAAGGAGGGTGAGGGAGGAGGACGAGGAGGTAGGTCGACAGCCGGGAGCCTCGAGAGGAACTGACGATGAACAGAAAGGAGGGAAAAGAGGAGGAGCGTGCGGGAGTCCAGTCCGAGTCGAGCGTCGATCAAAGGCTGGCCAATCCGCCCCCCGTTCGCCCAGGCCGGTGCAGGAGGAGGAGAGGAGGGGAGGGGACTGGACCGGACCGTGAGATGGAGGAGTGGGAGGAGGAGGCGTGGGAGTCGAGTCGAGCCGAGCCAGAGTGGGTGGTAGTGGGTGGGCCTCCCCCCCTGGAACTGCCCGGTCTAGAGGACGGCAGGAGGCGCTGGCGCTGGCGTTGGCGCAACGGTGCACGGCGTTGGAACCCTGAGACCGGGCGGTCAACCACTGGCAGGAACCACGCAGCGCAACCCCTGGGAGTTGGCCAGCCGGGCGAGGGCAGGCAGTGGAACTGGTCGAATGAAGGATTAATTTCAGCAAATGAGCTGGGGGGAGCTTCGCGCCTTTTCCCGCCCCACCTTCCCCTGCACAAGTCAGGCACCCTCGCACGCTGACAGGCTAGGACGGGCGCGCTAACGCAGGCACAGGACAAGCATCATTCATTGCTGCACTGGCCCTCAAGACTCAGAAGTGACGATACTGGCTGCAGCAGCTGGATGGGATGAAAACTGACTCTCTGCTCACTGCACAAAAGATATAGTGTGGCCCCCTCCATCTCCACGCCACGACAGGGGGAAGGGGGCGAGGCCCTTCAGCAGACGGTCACTGTCCTGTGAGACGGGCAGGAGGGCACTGGCAACGGGACTGTGGAATGTCCCACCGACGACGCATGAACATGCCATCCCAACTCCTCGCCGCACTGTCTTCCATATCTTCGCCGTTCCCGTTTCCATCCTCCTTCCCAGGGGTCGCAACGGGCCCCCAATCGTCTCGTCCCTCCGTCCCATCTTGCTCCCATATTGCTTCTTCTCCCGCTGGCAGCAGCCCGGAGAAATGACGAGTTTGAGAAGGGACGGAAACGAAAGCCGGGTCTGCTCGCACGACCATTGTCCACTGTTGACAACGGAGGCTGTCGCCAAGATCTCCCGGTCCATCCCCGGGAGTTTCAACAACCCTTGCCCTGGACCGGTCGGCTTCAACCTGGAAGTTCGCATGTCACCTAGTCGAATGCGAAATGTCCGACAAGCCTGCTATCACTGGATTGCCAGACGGGATGATGATGATGAGGGTGCTGCA